GATTTTCTTATGGATGCCGAAATGAAGTTGCGCCAATTTTCCCAGCTTTCTTGCTCCTTCTTCATCATCAGATATTTTTTTTTACCAGTTTCACGGATGCCTTCAGCTTTATCCATTCATTTTTTGCCGTATTTTTCCGTTTTTCATGATTTCAAACAAGCCTTTTGCATTTTCAGGCATTTTTCTGGCTCATGTTTTTGTAAGAGTAGAAGCGAGCTGTAGCTCGTGCGACAGCATCTTCATCAGGCAGAAGTATTCCGTTAACAACAAAAACACTGAGGCACTTCTGTAAGCAATGGAAAGCATATCAAGTGGAGTCAATTTCCTGAGACGTCGCTTTAGCTCGCAAGACATCGAAGATGATGACAGAACCGTACCAACAACTGTCGGTGGACATGGACACCAGCAACATTCCTCCAGTAGTTCAACGCAGGTCCAGAATGGCCCTCCTCCGAGCACTTTTTCACTGGCCGGACTGGCTAACAAGGTTTCAAGTGCTATAAGGTCAGCTTTCAAAGTACAAATTTGAGGCTGTCTGGTACTAAAAAGCACGCAAACTATGCTTCGGAATTCGATGGAATGAGTTGCTAACTGCCTTCTTTTGTCTTCAGAAAATTTTAAAAAAGAGCGACAGAGAGCAGAATTTTTCCGATGATCAAATTTTTAGCAAAAAAGCAGGATAACTAAGCCAGCGGAACACATAATTTAACGGAGGAGACAAGAGGCATTAACATAGTCAAATTTCTCATATATGGTGCTATTCTGAATGGATTTGCAACTTTTGAGCATTTTAGTGCACCAACGTCACCTTCAAAGCAGCCGATGTCAATGTACTCGCAAGTTCAGGGAATAACAAAAAATTTGATGCAAGCAGCCACTAATGCTACGTCGCATATCCAAGGACCACATAAGTGCATCCTGGTCATTGACGATCAACACATCGATTGGTGATTTTCATTCTCCTCCGTCTTGGAACTATTAAATATGCAAAAATTGTCTAACTGAGGCTCACAAACTGTTACTTTGTGCCGGAATCAGGTACCTTCCAAAGTTGCCTTATGCCAATGCATAATGTGCCGCCAAAATTAGACAATAAAGGCAGAGCGGGCAAAAAGA